GTATGTGTGTGTGTACGTGTCTGTGCATGTGTCTGTGTGTGTGCGAGTGTGTGTGCGCGAATAACGAGTATTTTGTGGATAAAAATATCTGAGCGTTTTTTTTTCTATTCTGTTGATTTTCTCGTGTACCGTTAGGTGTGGGTCAACTTTTGCACACGAGTCAAAATAGAAAGGGGGAAAAATGTGTACAATATTTTAAAATCTAACAGTTTTCTCTCCCGGAAATGAATTTATGTGGACATATTTGAATTCATGTGCATGTGTACAAACACGTACACAAAGGCTCGCGCGAGTACCCATTGATATTGTATTTTCATAATTATCATTATCATTTTATTTTGCAACTACTTTTGTTATTGCTACTATCACTATTTTTATTCATTATCTTTGTTATTATTATTATTATTATCATTATCTGTTTCATTATGGTTATCCTCCTCATCATTACCACCATCATTATCGTTATTATTTCCATTATCATCATTATCGTTATTATTACCATTATCATCATTATCGTTATTATAACCATTATCCTCAATATCGTTATTATTATCATTATCATCATTATCGTTATTATTACCATTATCATCATTATCGTTATTATTACCATTATCCTCATTATCGTTATTATTACTATTATTATCATTATCGTCATTATTACCATTATCATCATTACCGTTATTATTTCCATTATCCTTATTATCGTTATTATTACCATTATCGTCATTCTTCTTCTCCCATACAGAACCACATTATGGTAGAAGGTTCTAGAGCGACAGTAAGCTACACCCCCAACACAGAGCTAGATTACGGTACACTTCTCTGCTGGGGGTCCAATTCTGTGGGTGTTCAGCGCCATCCCTGTGTCTTTCACGTGTTCCCTGCTGGTGAGTGTGAGGATTTATTTATTTATTTATTTATTTATTTATTTATTTATTTATTTATTTATTTTTATATTTTTTGATAAGAATTGAAATGTCATGAATTAAAAAAGAGGGAGAGACTTAATTGAGAAGCGGTGAGTGAATATTAGGAGGAGTGGGGGGGAGCGGGGGGAGGGGGGGAGGGGGGAGAGAATCAGGATTTTTTGTGTGGTAGTTAAGGATTATGTGTCAAAAAAAAAAAAAAAAAAAAAAAAAAAAAAAATTGTTTGGTGACAAGTATTGATGGTGGCGATAAACTCTGCGGGGTTTTCTTGCCACGTTTCGATACCAAAATTTAGTCATGATACTATTCTTTCTCTCTCTCTCTCATTTCATTTCATCGAGGTCATGAATGACTGGATAGATAAGTGCTTTCAAATGACAAGCCATTTAGAAAATCCTGGAAATCGAAAACGATATCAATTTTCTTAATGCAAAACATTGATTATAGAGCGATGTTTTCTTGTCGTCACAACCTCTTGCCTTTTTCTCTTTCATACCAGGCCCTCCTGATCCTGTACACAATTGTTCAGTGTACAATCTCTCAGTGACCGTAGTGAACGTCCGATGTCTAGCAGGATTTGATGGTGGTTTGCCGCAGACTTTCATCCTCGAACTGTACGACCCGCACACGAACGTCTTGGTGGGGAACACGACCAACACGGTAGGTGGCGCATGATATCCTTGCGGCTGTGTGTTTTAGGGAGGTGTTCGTGATTGGTTAGGTTTATGGGGGTATATATATGCGTATGTGGATATGTTTACCTGCAAGGATGTAGTTACTTAAACAGAACTCATACATAGACTCGTATACAGGTAGAGGCGTACAAGACACATACACATACGGACACACGCTCGGGCACTCGCGCGCACACAAACACACACATACACATACACACACACACACACACACACACACACACACACACATACACACACACACACATACACACACACACACACACACACACACACACACACACACACACACACACACACACACACACACACACACACACACACACACACACACACACATACACACACACACACACACACACACACATACACACACACACACACACACACACACACACACACACACACACACACACACACACACACACACACACACACACATACATACATACACACACACACGAACACACATACACATAAGCAACAAAGAGAATTTATGAAAGGCCATAAATAAAATATAAAGAAATCACATTCTTTAGCCAACAATTTAGCACTCAAGGGGAAACAGTACATATAACTCTTCTTTTTATAAACAAAAACAAAAAAACAAAAATTATATCGTTCGTAAGTGCAGCTGAGTGTTTTAACCTTCCAGCAATGCCCTACGACCACGGTTCTCACCCCCTCTCCCTTCCCCCCTCTCCCCTGTCCTCACTCAGGTGCCGAAGTTCTCAGTGCCAGGTCTGCCTCCTGGCGTGGGTCTGTTGGGCGTGGTCTACTCTACCAACGCGAAGGGGCGTGGCCAGATGATCAATCTGCAGGTGTTCACACTAAAAGACGTGGCTGAGAGACGAACAGGTAAGCGACCATCTCTCTTT